ATTTATTTATTTGAGACAGAGAGAATGAGAGACAGAGAGCATGAGAGGGAGGAGGGTCAGAGGGAGAAGCAGACTCCCTGCCAAGCAGGGAGCCCGATGCAGGACTCGATCCTGGGACTCCAGGATCATGACCTGAGCCGAAGGCAGTCGCTTAACCAACTGAGCCACCCAGGCGCCCGGAGAGGGAGAATCTTAAGCAGGCTCCATACTTAGCATGGAGCTCTACATGGGGCTCAATCTCACCACCCTGAGATCATGACCTGAGCCAGAATCAAGAGTCAGATGCTTAACCAACTGAGCCACCCAGGTGCCCCTTTAAGAGAATGTTGTGTGTGTGGTTTTTTGTTGTTGTTGTTCTTGTTTAAGATTTATTTCTTTATTTTGGGGGTGGGCAAAGGGAGAGGGAATCCCAAGCAGACTCCATACTGAGCATAGAGCCTGACACAGGGCTCGATCTCACGACCCTGAGATTACAACCTAAGCGGAAACCAACAGACTGCATCACCCAGGCGCCCTGAGAATGTTTTGTAAAACAAAAATTCAAGACTCCATTTTATCAATCATACTTTTACAGTGCTGAGCCCAAGATGCAAAGAACAGAATGAAGAATTTCTGTATTTCCTAGTGTGCAGCCAAACAAGCTCATGATACTACAAAACACAGTTAAACTGAGTTAGATTTTATCCAAGCATTTCTTTGCTAGCACTCGGGTGAGACAGCATTCACACCTGGTAAGAACCACAGCAGTGCTGACAGATCTGGAAATGAGATCTGAGATCTCTGTATCTCCGTTCACAAGCTCTCCCAGTCTCTCAAGCTGGAAACCTCCTTCACTCTATCCCTTTTCCCTCCTCCCTCAGCTACCCAAATTTGCCTATTCCACCTTGGAGAAATCCAACACTTTCCTCTTCAGTACTTGTCACTGCCCCAGTTGGAGCATTTGGCATTGCTGGACCTCTGCCACCCCTCTCCTTCTGAAGCCCCCTCCACTGGGCCACCAGCTGATAGCCTCCACAGCCAAGAGACCGGTTCCCACCCCTCAACATGCATTTAAACCCCTTAACAATCTTGACTTATTTCCTTTCTCATAAACTCCACTTCAGCCACACAAATAAAAAGATGGGATAAATGATGAACATAAGAATTACTCTTGCAAATATAAGGGATTATTATAATTTAGTATGTGTGGTGGCTTTTCCTTCATGTTCATCTGGTGGTCACAGGCCCATTTCTTCATGGGCTGCCTTTGTTATGAGTCTATTATGATCCAGCACTGTGAAAGGTGATAGAGAATCAAAAATGAATAAAATGTATTCCTTGTCCCTGGGGCGCCTGGGTGGCTCAGCCGGTTAAGCGTCTGCCTTTAGGTCAGGTCATGATCCTCGGGTCCTGGGATCGAGTCCTGCATAGGGCTCTCTACTCAGCGGGGAGCCTGCTTCTACCTCTCCTCTCCACTCATGCTCTCTTCTCGCTATCTTTGTCTGTCTCTTTCAAATAAATAAATAAAATATTAAAAAAGAAAAAAACCCGTATTCCTTGTCCCAAGAAATGTTCAGTCTGGTAAAGAAAGAATTACAACATGGTGAGATAAATGTTATTACTGGAAAATAAAAGTACTATTAAAAAAAAAAGACAAGGCCAGAGTAATGAAAGAGAAGACAAGGCTAGAGTACCTAAAGAAAAAAATTATATATAAATTGTACAGTACATACACAGAAACACATATGTTAGCAAAGACAGGAAACAGCAATTTAACACACTATAAATATAAAATTCATGAATTAAAAAAAATTCAAACCTTATGAGTTAAAGAATCAAGTTTGCTATAACATTCCAACAATTCATCAGCATGTGACAAGTCAGGACTGACTTCTTTTTCCTCTGATACACCATGTTTTACCTAAATTAGCAAAACAGAGATTTTATTTCTTTATAGTTCAGCTGTGAAAATAACCTAAAGTTAATGAAGACTAAAAGTTGACTTCATCATTTTATGACTTTGTCATAATTCATCTGTGTTGAACCAAAAAAGTCTCAAATTTATATACTAGCTAAGAACTAAAATCAAGTTAGCTGGCGGCTCGATGGGCTTTACATTCATATTCAACACAGAAATAAGCAGGTGGGGTTGAAATCCTCTTAGACTAAGAGTCAGGGAGATATTCTACATGGCTGCTAGTCATTGGTACATGACTCTTGACTCTGGAAGCTCTGCGAGAAACAGTAACAGAAGTACACTATTTCCATTACAGGACCGATAAGGTCTTATGTACATGCACATGCATTTTTTTTTAATACCTGAGACTTTCTCATTGTTCCTGAAGCAGCATCATAGTTAAGCATGTCTGTGGGGTCAATCCAGTCATCATCATGAGCATAACCGGTTATCAACCACAGACATTCACAAAGGAGCAGAGAATACAGCATCCTGCATGAAGGCTAAAAAAAATTTTAATAGACATAATAAAATACAATTATTTTTAGAAGAAATGGTTTTGTAATAAAAACTATCTACTTCCTTCTAGTGCTAAGATAATGTTTTCTTACTGAATAATAACTGAAATAAAAATACTCAGTAAAATGGTATTCACATTTAAACACATACACACACATTCGTGCTGAGACAAAAAGAATACAGGAACTTTTCATAGGATTCAGAATTCCATTCCTAGGCTTACGCCCAAGAAATGAAAACACATATGCACACAAGAACTTGTACACAAATGTTTACAGCCATATTATTCACAACAGCCAAAGAGAAAACTCAAATGTCTATCAACTGACAGATAACTAAAATGTGGCATATCCATACAATGGGAGAGTACGAGGCATAAAAATGGATGAAGTACTGACACGTGCTAAAACATGGATGAACCCTGAGAACACTGTGCTGTGGGAAAGAAGCCAGGCAGCAAAGACCACAGAGTACAGGATCCCATTTACATGAAATGTCCAGAACAGGCAAATCTACAGAGACAGATGGTAGATTAGTAGGTGCTCAGGGCTGGGAACAGAACAGACGGCTGGCAGTTAAAATGGTACGGGGTTTCTTCTTGAGGTGATGAAAAATGATCTAAAACTGTGGTGATGGTTGCATGAACTGTGCTCTTTAAATGAGTGAATAGTTTAGTACGTGAATCATTGCTCAGTAAAACTGCTTTAAACAGAAGAGGTATTGGGGCGCCTGGGTGCCTCAGTCGGTTAAGCGGCTGCCTTCGGCTCAGGTCATGGTCCCAGGGTCCTGGGCTCCCTGCTCATCAGGGAGTCTGCTTCTCCCTCTCCCACTCCCCCTGCTTGTGTTGCCTCTCTTGCTGTCTGTCAAATAAATAAATAAAATCTTTTTAAAAAAGAAAAAAGAAAAAGAAGAGGTATTTAACCAAACCCTCTCCCCCCAAATTCCTTTTTTTAACACATGGAAAATAAGAAATGTATAAAATTAACATTCAAACAAGGTGACTGAACTCCCAAACCACTCAGAGAAAATAACTTGCTTCATCTAAGCCTCTGCAGAAACACTGTCAAATCATCTCAATACCGCCTCTATTCAACACTGTCCAATACAGTAGCCGCTAAGCGTATGTGGCTATTTAAATTTAAACTAATTAAAATTAAATAAAATTAAAAATTCAGTTCCTCATTCACGCTAACTGCATTTCAAGTGCTCAACACCCACATGGGGCTAGTGGCTGCCACAGTGGACAGGGCAGATCTAGAACATTTCCATCATTGCAGAAAGTTCTTTTGGACAGCCTGTCTTATACTTAACATGAATAAAAATCAGGTAAGGAAATTCCCAAGTGAGAAAGTAAAAATAGGGCGCCTGGGTGGCTCAGTCGTTAAGCGTCTGCCTTTGGCTCAGGTCATGATCCCAGGGTCCTGGGATCGAG